TCAGGGATTTCCAGAACATTCTAAAGAACATTCCCACATATTCTTGATGTTCCCAGGAGTTCTGAATGGTTTCCAGGGAATTCTTGAAGGGGAACACTGAGTATTCCAGTGGTTTCCACAATATTCCGCAATGTTCCGCAACATTCCGTGGGTTTCCGGCATGTTCTCCTCCTGTCTCCTTGGAATATCCTGGTGTTCCCTGGCTCTCTGATGCTAGGCTGTCATGTGCACATTGTCTGGAACCTTCTAGAACCTTCTGGCAATTTCTGCACCTTTGTCAGCTGAAGTAGTCTAGCATGTTCTCCATGACTGCAGATGATCCTGTGTTGATGGCTGGGTTCCTCCTGTTCCTGAAGTTTCCGGTACCTTCCAGAACTGTCTCCTGAACTCTGGGCTAGTCCTAAGCATTCTGGTGTCTGCTAGGTTGGTCTCTGGTCCTAGGTCTGTCTGGTGAGGGTGCTCCTATTGCTGGCATACCCTGGACTGTTCCGGTAGGCCCATGTGCCAAACCAGTTTGGTGCATGACACCGCGTGGACGTCAAAACCTGGCACCGCCGACTTGGACACCTCAATATCGAGTCCGTCCTCAAGATGGTTCGGAAGGGCATGGTCAAGGGCATGGAGATCGTAGGAACACTTGCCAAGCCTCGCATCCCGTGCGTGCCATGTCTCCAAGGGAAGCAGACGCGCAATGCTATCCCGAAGAGCACGACCGCAGAGTACCCTCGCGTCAACCACTGCACGCACGCAGATCTTCAAGGAGCCATGCAGACGCCAACACCGCCCGGCCATCGCTATCTCAACCTCTTTGTTGAGGGACGGTCACACCACTTGACCGGCTTCCTGATGAAGAACAAGTCGGAGCAACCAGGCCAGCTCGAGCAGTACATCACTCGCAGCGAGATCGAGACCGGACAGCCGCTCAATATCCTGCGGACCGACGGCGGTGGCGAGTACGTCAACAAGGACGTCGAGGCCATCCTTCGCGAGCGTGGAATTCACCATGAGTGGACGAATGCGTACACGCCGCAGGAGAACGGCATCGCCGAACGCGCGAACCGCACGGTCATGGAAATGGCCCGCTCGATGCTCGCCGAGTCGGGACTGCCAAACAAGTACTGGGGCGAGGCCGTCATGTACGCAATCCACATCCTGAACAGGACGCCGACACGGACGCTCGAGGAGGACCTCACGCCAATTGAGGTCTACACCGGCAACAAGCCCTCCGTCGCCCACATACGAGCCTTCGGCTGCAAGGCATACGTACACGTCCCTGACGAACGGCGCCGGAAGCTCGACCAGAAGTCACTCGAGTGTGTCCTTGTTGGATATGCGGAGAACAAGCGTGCCTACCGCCTTCTCCATCGCCCCACAGGTCGGATCTACGAGTCTCGGGACGTCGTCTTCAATGAGGACGGCGGCGTGGAACCACACCGCGTCACAATCAGCGTCGAGCCGTTCCCAATGCCGTCTCAGACACCACCGCCCGCCACCTCAGGCAGCTTGCGGTACAAGACGACCGTGGAAGAGGTGGAGGACGAGGGCGACCATCCACAGCGGCCTGACACACCGTCTGCGAAGTCCGAACCCGAGTCCGAGGACGGCGCTGACAACGCCGGCCCCTCTCTCCCGTTCCAGGACACGGATGATGCGTCTGAAGTGCGCGCTCCCCCTGCTCGGCCCGGACGCCCTCAACGGGTGATTCCCATCGCTGCAGGTGCACCCTATCCGAACCCGATTCCGCCTCCGGAGGTGCGTCGCTCCGTGCGTACACGTCGAGCGCCCCTTCGGGACGATGACCCTCGTTTCCGCGTCTCCTCCTACAACCGCCGTCAAGCTGCCGAAGAACCCGCTCTGCCTGAGCAGCCGCAAGTCGACTCCGTGGAGGCACCGGACCCTGCAGTGGGCGATGAGCACGCTCATCGGGCTCTCACTCTCGACGGCGAGCCGCACACCTACGAAGAGGCCATGTCGCGCCCCGACGCCGACATGTGGCGGGCCGCATGCGCCGAAGAGCTATTTGCATTCGCTAAGGCCGAACTCTACGACGAGGTGGAGAGGCCTCGAGGACGCAAGGTCGTGGGCTGCAAGTGGGTCTTCAAGATCAAGCGCGGCCCCGACGGCTCTATCGAGAAGTACAAGACGCGCCTCGTTGCGAAGGGTTTCACACAGGTCGAAGGCGTAGACTACACGGACACATTCGCGCCCGTCTCCAAGTTCGCATCCATCCGCAGCGTCCTCGCACTCGCCGCCATGTACGACCTTGACGTCGACCAGATGGATGTCAAGTCGGCATTCCTCAACGGCGACCTCGATGAAGAGATCTACATGGCATGCCCTCCCGGATCGGACCACAACGACGGCACCGTTTGGCGACTCAAGAAGTCCCTCTACGGCCTCAAGCAGGCCAGCCGTGAGTGGTACAAGAAGATCCGCTCGGAGTTCGAGGCACTCGGTTTCGAGCGCAGCGGCGCCGACCACAGCATCTTCGTCAAGGCACAGGACGGCATCATCCTCATCATTGCACTATACGTTGATGACATGCTCATTGCTGGGAACGACCGCGCCACTATCGACGCGTTCAAGGCCACCCTCAGTCAGCGTTTCGAGATGACCGACCTCGGCAATGTGCGCTGGATCCTCGGTATGGAGATTGAGCGCGACCGCGCTCGTCGCACACTGTCCATCTCGCAAGCCCAGTACGTCGAGAAGATCCTGGAGCGCCACGGCATGGCAAACTGCCGCCCAGTCAGCACGCCGATGCAGCCGAACACCAAACTCGAGAAGCTCTCGGAGGCTACCATCGACCCCAAGCCGTACCAGAGTGCGCTCGGCTCGCTCATGTACGCTATGCTCGGATCGCGCCCCGACATTGCGTTTGCAGTTGGCGCTCTCAGCAAGCACTCGGCGACGCCTGGCCCCGAGCACTGGACCGCGCTCATGCACGTTTTCCGCTACCTTCATGGCACATCCACCCTCCGCCTCACGTACGCCCCTGGCTCGGACCAGTCCAATGGGGCCTTGCCTCTCGGATACTCGGATGCAGACTGGGCTGGAGACATCAATGACCGCCGCTCAACGTCGGGCCAAGCATTCTTCTTGCACGGCGGCGCCGTCAGCTGGCAGTCCAAGAAGCAGCAGTCGGTCGCTCAGTCGAGCACCAAAGCTGAGTACATCGCACTCGCTTCCGCCGCCAAGGAGGCGCTCTGGTTGCGCACGCTCCTCGACGACCTCGCCGTCCCCACGTCACTCGCACGTTCAGCCTCGGACAATGTGTCCACGCCGCTCCTCTCTCCTTGCAGGCTGCAACGAGACACTGTTCGGGGTGATCGGCGATATATGCCGCAAGGATAGGGAAGACACGACGTACACGCCCGTCGGGACAGGTCATGAGTTTTGCGCGGTGTCGTGTCTAGTCAAGAGCACGGTCAGTGCCTCAGTCTCGCGCGCACGGATGGTGGCAAGAGCTCTATATTAATTACCTAGTCAAGAGCACGGTCAGTGCCTAAGGAATGACTGTTAGTGTACCATAAAAGAGCGACATAAAACGAATGAGTCGTACCTCAGTCTCGCGCGCACGGATGGTGGCAAGAGCTGAGGTACTCGAGGAGAAAATCGACGAGACGAGCCCGGCGCGATGCTGATGTAAGCTTAGCGCCGAGCGTTCAGTAAGTGAGTGAACTAATCGGGTAAGTAGAGCGCTTATAGCGCGTAAGTAATTGTAAGTAAGTCCGGTGTAACCTCCTTCAACACGCCCACTCAACGGACATACACTACATGAGTCCGAGCGCGGTCGTGAAACGGACGTGCTTCTCACGAGCGAGAGCCTTCATCAGGACGTCTGCAACCTGGTCGTCGGTGGGGACGTACTCAACCTCGAGGGTCCCGCGCTCGATCTCATCGCGAATAAAGTGATGACGGACCGCGATGTGCTTCGTGCGGTCGTGGAACGTTGAGTTCTTGGCGAGAGCCATCGCCGACTGGTTGTCAACGAGACCATTGTCCGAAGTGTCCGGTCCCCCCGGACGACCGCGGAGAGCCAGTGTACTCGTGCTTGAGGGATCCAACACTCGTTGTCGATGTGCTCAAGAGATCTGTAGATGGACTGCCTGGGGAGAAGCCATCAGAGTTCAAGGACTGGGGACTGCGCGCTGTCAATCCTTTCTGGGCAGACTTACCTCACGCCAACGTCTTCTCCGCCCTGACTCCCGATATCCTGCACCAATTACACAAGGGAGTGTTCAAAACCCATCTCGTGAGCTGGGCTACGGCGGCGATAGAGGGCGGTGCGGATGAGATCGACCGGCACTTCAAGGCGATGCTCAAGCACTCTGATCTGCGCTACTTCAAGAGCGGCATCTCCCTCGTGTCCCAATGGACGGGAACCGAATTCAAGAACATGGAGAAGTCGTTCCTAGGAGTCGTCGCAGGCGCAGTCGACGAGCGCGTCACTCGGGCTGTCCGTGCCGTGCTAGACTTCATCTATCTTGCTCATTTCGAGACTCACACGGACAGTTCGCTCGAAGCCCTCCACCAAAGCTGGCTCGACTACCACAAGTACAAGGTGGTCTTTGTCGAGCTCGACATCCGCGAGCATTTTAACTTCCCCAAAGGTCACTCAATGGAGCACTACGAGCCATCAATTCGCTCAGTGGGTACTGCTGACGGCTACAGCACAGAGCACCCGGAGCGCTTGCATATCGACTTCGCAAAACTCGCGTACGGGGCCAGCAACAAACAAGCGTCCTATATTCAACAGATGACCCGATGGCTAGAGCGCCAGGAGGCTGTCCACCGGTTCGCGTCGTACTTGGAATGGGCTCGGACGCAACCTTCCCCGACCATGGAGTCCCTTCCCGCCGGTTCTCACTCTCACGCTCATGACGGCCGCTCGGAGCTGTCGCCCTCTTCCACTCAGCCTCCTTCTTCCATCGTCCCTCCTGGCTCATCCTCCATCTCCGACGAGTCGAGTACCGCCTCCCTATCCAAGTCCACTGTTGTCCCCGCCTTGCCACCCGGTCCATCCCACACCGGCACGTTCACATCACGCTGCGAGGACGTTCCGGAGGAGGCTGCAGTGTCTGAAGGTAACGTGGAGGTCGATGCCGAGCCAGAGGAGGATGTCTGGAAGGATGGATACCGTGTGGCAAAGGTCCCCGCATACGGCTCTCTCTCGGTTGTCGAGATCGAGACCAACTTCGGTGCAGCGAGCTTCAAGACCGCCCTCGCAGACCACCTCAAGAAGCTGGCTGATGGTAACCCACGCCGTCTTGCGCTGGTGTCCACACCCTTGCACGACCTATCTCGCATCGCCGCTTACAAGCAAGCGAAAGTCCAGCTGCCAGTCATCCGGCAAGTATCGAAGTACGCTCCCATCGACATTATTCACGCCTCCCCCTCGCACACCGGGCCACGTCACTTGCAGAGCACTATTCCTGCGCAGATGTCGACCGTCTTCGCGCGGGACCCCGCCGCGAGTCAAACAGACCGCGTTTTTGATGTGAAGCGCCCCCTAGCAGGTACGTTGAGTGAAATCGGCGTGATCCTTTCCCTACTGACTCCTCGAATTGCACTAGGTTTGCGCGTCGCGCGCGTGAGGGTGATATTCAACCTCCCTCCCATGTATGATTCTCGTGCCCTCGCCATCACAGGGCCCCTGGCGTACGTAGAGTGGTTCACTCCTTTCCAAGTTGTGGATCACATTACAGGTATGTACGTCGTCTCGCCCTCCACACGTCAACACCAGCGTAATTGCTCCGTGATTCCCTTGTCGGACATTATACGTACATGCCATCTTATACCATGCTGGGGCAAACAGATAGAGCGGCGCATTGTTCCCGGGGACGTCTTGGATAATGTTGCTTCTAAGTTTTTTGTGAATCCTTACCTGCGACATCATGATTTCATTATGTTACGACTGCTTTCCAATATATGATTTTTGGGGAAGTTATGATGGCTACAGAGAGCTACATAGGTATGCACCTCCCGACGTCAACTACTGTTGCTACATATCGACCCCTTCGCTACATCATTTTGGCTTTTTCCTGATGCGGCCGGCCAAGGCGAAAGGGAAGGCGTCTAAGGGGAAGGGGAGAGCACCGGCATAGCAGGGCTAGGCGGGCGGAGGTTGGCTGAGGCCCGCGCATCAGGAAAAAATCCACCTGCATTACTGCCGTATGTAGTCTATGTAGTTACTGTAGCGCTGTTGCAAGCCCCTTACATAGTTGTGACCTGTTGTAATATGAGTCTGTTCTGTAGTGCACTGTTGCACTCCGTAGTATCATGCAGCGCTCAAAAATCAGTTTGTTGTGCACCAAAGTTGGCGGATGCAGAAGGCTATGTTTATATTGCTAGTCATGACTTGCAATACTAAGGTGCTATGTCACAATCGTAGTGATCGCCGGCGGGACATATAGCATACATATCAATTGACAATTCCATCCACTCATCACACAGGTGCAGCGGCGACATGAATTCTTGGACCCAGTGCCGCCAATAGACATTAATATACACTATGCATCAGTCCTCCTCCGGGTCACCCTCAGACATCTCATCATCACTAAGCTGGAACTGATGGATCGCACGGGCTACCGCACGCGGATCGAGCTGACGCGCGCTCGCACTCTCATCCTGGCCTGCCTTGGCATACACACTAAGATTGTTATTAGCGTAATATTCCCAGCGTTGAGCAGTAGCACTCACCGTCCGTCATCATAAATCCGCTTGCAGATCTGCGAGACGACCTTGAGATCACCGGAGGTCGTCTCGAACATGTTTAGCTCCTCCAGATGATGCTCGTACGCAGCGCGGTACGCTTCTTCGGTGAACGATACCTTGGTCCAGCTGCCATCAGTCCATTCATCGATGGCACATTCAACCTAGCCCGCAGTCCGAGTAAAGTGAGTATACTCCGCGCTGCAGGTAGGCGGCGGGGGCTTACCGCAGTTAGAATGAGCGCAAGCGCAGGTACGGGGAAGGGCGAGTACTGCGCGCGCAAGAGAATGCCGTCATCTGTGCGCTTCTTGAAGTACACCCGGTTCGCCATTTGCTGGATGATCTCCGCCTGGTACAGGCCCTTGTGATCGTCGACCGTCTTGCCGCGTTTCTGGTGCACCCTTGAGCAGCCTGCAAGCGTAGATAGTCGACCGTACTCACACGATACACGAACGCGTCGTTCTCTCTCAACAACGTGACCTTCTTGCGGTTGCGCAGGTGCACGGCAGATTTAGCGCTCACCCAAAAGCGGTACTGTAAGAACCCGGCGGTTCTTACTTACTACCGGCACTCCCTAGTGCCTGGACGGGAACGTCCACTTCAGTAGGAGAAGGTGTTCTCCGGGAATCGCGGAGAACTAGCGCATCTAGGCGCCCGTAGATTAGATACCGCCATTCATGTATCGTACGTAAGCGTACGGCGCCCGAAGGTTCGGGCCTCGGGCGCCTGGTGGGGGCAGAGTTCTACCACCCCCCACCATCCAGCGAGTACGCCGAGCAATCAAGCCCGGTCCAGAGTACTTGCAGGATTCGGGGAGTCGTGGGACTCGCGTACACTTACACTTTTTTTACNCTAGCCGCGACGAACGACTTTCGTCACAGCATCAAGTTGCTCGACGTAACCACGTCATCAGAACATCGACGCCTTACGACAGCGT